TAAATTGTATATTTTCAACGGGAAAGTGTTCAACGTCTCTAACCGAGCATATCGCGGATTTTTCTTCCAAGTAAACTCAATAATCGGGAAAATTTCGTTTGGAAAATTAACGGTAATAATCTTGTAAAGAATTTAAATACTCAAGTCAATTTTGCAACCTTGGAACTGAGTTACGCTCCTTTGTCGGGAATAGGATTGAATTCTATTTTCATTTAATTTGACAATATTGGTTTGATGTGTCAATCAAGCTTCATCTGAAACGGAAGAAAATGCAACAAAGTGGAAGAGAAAGAAGAGGATGAGGAATGAGAGGAGGGGGGTGGAGGATGAAGCGACAGCAGATGAAGCGGTCAACACTCAACAGGTAATTTGACATAGAGTGATACGTGCTCGATTGAGTCATCCAAAAAGAGACAAGTGTCCATCTTTTTCTGCAGCTCGTAGCAATGACCTCTCAAGGTTAAAAAACTCAGCTAAGGACATCCACTTAGAATTGCTGGTGGGACGCTGAGAAGGGATTTTAGACCTCAACGTTTTCATGGTACTAATACTTCATGTCCGGGATTCAGTATTTTCCTGTCGACTGTAACACTCAGAGTAGACTGATGAATGTAAAAGGAAAGTACATTTTGATCTCAAGGTTAAAAAACTCAGCTAAGGACATCCACTTAGAATTGCTGATGGGACGCTGAGAAGAGATTTCAGACCTCAACGTTTTCATGGTACTAATACTTCATGTCCGGGATTCAGTATTTTCCTGTCGACTCCAACACTCAGAGTAGACTGATGATTGTGAAAGGAAAGTACATTTTGATAAACTGATCCCGCTTTGTCAAACAGATTGATCAAATCAATTTGCTGGCAAATTGTTACGTAGAGGGGGAAAATGTGCCTAGTGGGGGGAGGGGTGTATAAGATAACTATACCACAGCATAGAGGCGTTCATTGTGCATCACCTGGTCTTAAAAATACATCCAAGACTCTCAGAAATTGATCCTTCAGCAGAAATTCAGAGTTCGACATACGAAAAAAAAGAGAGTTCGAGAAGACCTCGTTTTAAAGTTTGGTAACACTTTTGTCAGTCTTGGAAACGTATACCTTAAACGCTGGTAAGATCATTTAATAATAAGAATCATGAGATCGTCTTTGAAAGCTCAGTACCAAGACACAAAAGACATCCGCAGTTGCTGTGCAGCAAGAGACTTCAACGCTGGGATAAGAAAGTGAGAGACTAGGGATCGATAAACATGGATCTTTATTGTTACGTCATGAGATCGCAATGTGGTACCCCGCACAGATTCCGGAAAACCACCTCAAAGGGGGGGGGGGAGGTGATAGGGGGCACAGAAGAGTTGTCGCAATAATGGACAGACAATATTACTTTTGCACCCAACAGGAGTTTTATCGGGCGATATTGCTTTACAACGAGACCTGTAAGTACTGCCGGAGACGTTACTCAAAAAATAATAATGTAGAAGGGATATGATTCACACGGGTAATGTTACCATAGTATTCTCTGTTTGTAATATGTTGCAAAGTTGATTTTCATGGAATAAATCGTCGAAAGAATGTAACTCCGTTTCAATGTTGCCAAACTTCCCCTCGCGAAGTGCACATTAGGCAGGAAAATCTTGTGCATTTCTAGCGGAAAATTTCACTGATTTTTCTTCAGATTTCGTACAAAAAGCAGATAATTTTGGGTATAAATTGCACAGGTACGTTTTTGTAAAATGAGATAATTGTTTGAGTCAATTTGGCAACCTTGGAATGGAGTTACGTTTTTTTGTCCGGGAGACGATGAAATGTCCAGTCCACCTGTTTTATATCCAGAAAATGGATATCTTACAACACAATCTCGAGGCAATGGTTTTCGAGAGCCTAACTGATGGTTGCTGATAATTCTATTTGAAAAACGGTGGATTTCCTTGATACACCTTTTCCCATTTAAAACGCAGAATAATAAATTTTCCACACCAAAAAAAACCATGTTTCGGCTTACTGTTCTCTTGATTAAAACGGTAGTATATATAGACTGAAACAAATATTTGTGTGTTACTTTTGGTTAATATAGGAAGTAAGACACAAACCACACAGATTTTGTGGTTATTTTGGTACAGTTTGCGGTAAGTTTAGCGCAGAAAACAATGGACAGACTAGGAAAGTGCATTCCTCCAATTGCAACGATGGTATTCACCACCCGTTTTTTCATAAATTTCCGCAAGAAAACTAGCTGGCATTTTCTCTTAAAATCATCGACCGAAGGCTAGGGGTATTTTGTGTTTTGCTTCCCGTATTAACCAAACTTTTGTGTTGAAATTTATCTCTGCGTGTTTAAGTATAGTGAAATTTTCCTGTCGTGGAAGAATCACCGGTAGAGGCATTTCAGGAGCAACGAACAGAGATGTTCCTCCTCACATGAGGATTAATTAAATGATGAGGTCTACAACCTGTAGCGGCAGAAGATACTGGCCTGAGCTGAGAGGACATAGCGGTGAAGTTGGAATTTTCCTCACGCCGCGATGGATGCCCGATGCGATCTCTGCAAGATGCTTCGACAGACGACGAAAACATGACTGCAGATGACGGCGGAACTGATTATACGGTCATGGGGGAAATAAAAATAATTCCCACCGGCACATGCAGCAATATTCCTGCAGTATTGCTACAGCATTGCCAGAGACAGCCAATTTTTAAGCGGGCAAAATGTTAAGAATACTATCCCTACTCCCTTTGGTATAATTTGCTACGCGTTATTCCAAAAGTATATGAAAATGTAAGCTTTGGGAAGGCGCAAAGTAACATTTTTAAAAGAAACTAATGAAACAGTATATCGACGGTGAAACTACCAAACCACGTATCTCGGTTTGCGACGTCGCAGACTTCCTGTCATACTTTATTTTTTAAATGAAAAACTACTTAACATCCAGTCTTGAAAATTTCTGTAATTTTTCCTCTTTGTGCGGAGATAATTCCGTGAAAATTTGATGATGATTGATTTGATTTGAATGATATTGATTTGGTTTACTTCAAAAAAATAAAATGTGAGCGTAGATTTTTAAACACCGCAAACGAGATACGTGGTTTGGTAGTTTCACCGTCGATATTGGGCTCTGGCGTAACACGTTCGACGTAATATAAGTAAGTAAATAGTAGTTGGCATCTAAAGGGAATTAAAATATTAAATTAAATCTATTCACAACCAGTTATAGGAGCTAGTGGTTGGTAACGACCCGGGCTAAAAGGGAATTTCGTTCCCAAAACTTGAACTGAACTGAGCGTTGAACTCAAAAATGAATGAAGCTGGGCTGTAAAGATGTTAAAACGATGAGGCTAAAAATTACACGATTCTTCGGAAAGATCTCTCAATCTCCAAATTATTCATAATTATTCATTTTAAGATTACAAGACTTATATTAAATTCAATGTTCGGAGAGGAGTTTTATTAATGCACCATCGTTACGTGTTTCAAATGTCTGCTCAAAGAGTTTGCTTTTGTAATCATGAAAATGTCCACAAAGCTACTCCTATGGCTGAATCGCGAGATCAAATGTTATTTAAATATAATCATAAGTTGAACCGATTTTGCAATTTCTTCATTTTGCTAACGATCGCTTTTTCCAAGTCCTTGATGATGGGTACATGGAAAGCTACTTTGAAATCGATCTATAGTTTTAGAGGTAAATACTAGCTCGAGAGGGCTGCGAAGAATGAGAACAAGATAAATCAAAAAACACCGCGTTTTGGCCAAAAATACAGGATTAAGAAAAGAAAGAAAAAAAAACAACTAAATATGGGGAAGAAGCTGGAGACAAAGAAAGAAAAGTTGGGATGTTCCAGGATTTTTACAAACCCTCACTTTCAAACAGCAAAAGAAGAAAAAGAAAATGGAAAAAATTCATAGGTTCCATTCGATATAAACCTTCATGGATAAGTATATCAAGTTTTGAATAATAGTCTTTATAAAAAATTATGTATGAAATTATTATTATAAATGAAAAATATAATGAGGCTAATTTTACAGCCCAATTTTTAAGTATTAAATAGCTGTTTCATCGATAGGTTTAGGGTATGAACATGATAAAAGACAATTTTTTGGAAAAATGTAGGTACTTATTATTCCGAGCTAAGCTTATTTTCCGAAGCATAACGCGTAAAATATTTAAAATAATAACTCAATTTTTAATTAAACAACAGCATTAACGAGTAAAATTTATCTTAGACCATAGATTTTTCCGTAATTTTTCAAGTTCAAGTCAAATTCCTGATATATTTCTTTATTTTTCAAAAACTCTGTCACGTGCATGGGCACTTGCTGGTCGAAAGCGGAGGCGACAAATCCCGAGTTCATTTTGTTTATTTTCGAGAGTTAATTTACCCCGAGAAAAAGGAGAGGTAAATCTGAAGTCTGACAAAGTGACCCAAAGTTTTGAGTACTAGTTAGGTACCTCACTATTCCACTGCAATTTCTACTTTTCGAAACTCTGCTTTAGGCGCATTTGCCGGTAGAAATTGGGCATTAAAAAATCCCGATTTTATTTTGTTTACTTTATAACGTTTTCCCTGAAAATAAAACATAGTTCACAATTTTGAAGTTTGGCCCCCAAATTTTGGATTTTATAGGTACCTACCCGACAATTTTTTGCCATCAAATTTTTACTTTTGAACTATGCTACATGGGCCTTTGCGAGTTGAAATTGGGAGTGAGGAAGATAGTATTTAAATTAAGAGAAATAAAAAATGGAATTGAATAAAATAATGTAAAAAAAGGAATACATCAATATATAATATAAATTAATATAAATAAATAAAATGAATTAAAAAATTAATAAAATGAATTAAAAATATCCGGGGGAAATCGGAAATCCGAAAATTGAAATCGGGAAATCCCGGTGTGACTTTGTTTACCTTTCATCGTCCCACCCGAAAAAGGCGAAGGCCATAAAGGACTAATTAACTATTTATTTACTTAATTATTTAATTAGGTAGGAGGGGTTGCGTACCTGGGTCGACGACGGGGAGGGCGGCAGCGCGGAAAAGGCAAACGGCGAAGGACAACCACGTCAACGGACTGCGCACGCTCACCACTGACATGCCGTCGAATTCACGCGACGGACGGAACAGAAATAAACAAAACGGATGAATATTTCTCGATAATTATTAACGGTAACTCGTTTGCAGGTCAGTAGTTCTCCAAAGCTGGGCTCTGCGCGCTCTGCGCCGCGCTACGTCGCGTCGTCTTCCTCTTCTCCTCGAGTTTTTTTTCTTTTTTATCGCCGCGCCGCGCGCCGCCACGGGTGTAGTTGACTCACGCTCGATTTCTGCTCCTGCTCCTGCTCCTGCTCCTGCTCCTACTCCTACTCTTGCTTCTGTTCTTGCTCCTGTTCTTGCTCCTGTTCTTGCTCCTATTCTTGCTCTTGTTCTTGCTCCAGTTCTTGCTCTCGCTCTTGCAGCGCCATCCCGAGACCTCGCCCGACGAAAGAGGAGCCGCCGAACACTGCCGTACTAGAGAAAAACGCCGTATGAGCCTTCAGGTGTAGGAAAATTTCCTTCGGTAAATCACGAATTATCGGGAAAATTTGGAAACAGTTTTCTTCCAATTTTTCAGGTAAATTTGTTCGCAATTTCACCTAAAGCTCCTGAAAATTTCAAAGAAAAATATTCCTAACTTTCTTCGAAAATAACTATTTTCCGAGTGGAAATTTGTGCAACTCTCGAATGCTCTTACGACGTTCTTCCTTGGCACGGCGACACAGTGGAACGAGCTAGTCGAAGATGTCGGACATGAAATTTTGGGCTAAAATTTCAAATTTTGATGTTTAATTCGTCACAAATTCAATTTCAAGGGGTGATTCTAAACGGAAATTTCATGAAAACCCCAATGGAGCCACTCTTAAACTTACTTTTTTCATATTTTCTGAAATAGAAGCTTTCAAAGTTGCCCGATCTTGTCTGACTTCTCCTATTAACCCGGTCCAGTGTGCGCTGTGACCACTCGGACGAGCCGCTGTCGCCGAAGCCAGGAGAACTGGAGGGCAGAAGAACAGGTAGAGACAGCATGTACCTAGGCCCCGCGCCGCGCCGCCAGGCTCCATCTTGACGTCACGAGAGGATCGGACGCGACTCGAGCTTTCCACGTGGTCTCACTGTTCATTGGTCGTCCCCGTCAAATGGGTCTTTTAATTGAGGGATCTCTTGAAAATTTGGTCAAATTTCAGGAAGACCTATGAAAATTTGGCCAAGTTTGATCAAGTTGCCCGAGCGAAGGAACGTAACTGCATTACGAGGTTGCAAAATTGAGTCAAAAAATTTAATTTTCTACAATAATGTACCTTTTTTCACTTAAAATATCCCACGAGGAGTAATCCCGCGCTTTGCCGTCCCTATGTACTGCCGTGCTGAGGAAGAACGCCGTATGAGCCTTCAGCCATTGCCAATTTTTCACCGATACAAACCGAATTTACTGGGAAAATTGCGGGTGTTATTTCCCTAAATTTTCAGACAATTTTGTACGCAATTTAATATAAAATATCTGAAAATTTCAGGGGAAAATATGCTTGAATGTTCTCAAACATATATATTTTATTGAGGGAAATTAGGCAACTTTCGAAGACTTATACAGCTTTCTTTCTTAGCACGGCAGTATAGTCCCATTCCTCCTCCGTCCCAAATCAAGCCAGCCCCAGATAGCCGTTTTGTGAGACCATCAAACTAGGGTCACCTGGCCGAGAATCGAACCCAAAACCTCCCAATCGTAGAGCAAGCGCTGCAATCACTACACCACAGGAGGCCGACTGCAATTGTGCAAACCTGTGTAATTTTTGTTCAACATTTATCTGATTTTTCCATGAGATCAGGAGAAAATCAATGAATTGTTTAAGTAGATGAGCTCAAAATTCTCCTGGTAAATTTGCAATTAGCGAGTGGAAATTTGGCAGCATTGCAATATAGTTACGTTCTTTCATGCGGAAAACGACGAACAGAGGGGCTTGGAGGACAAGGCGCATATGTGTAGTTTTTTTTAAAAAAAATGAGACACTATTAATGATTTCAAGTATAACCAGTCTTAATGCATAATATGGAGGCGCGAACTTGCAATGTTCACGCTCTATGCTCCCGCTCAAGAGATGTCGAGCGACATCTCAGCAGATTCGGGAGAAAAGTTACAAAGAACGAGGCCCGATTACGTCTCTCCGATCTTCGGCTGAGTTGCTTATGCAGCCCTTGAAGCACCACCATAAATAATACAAACGGAAACAAACACTATACAAACAGAGCAACAGAGAACAGAACAGAATAGTATAGAAACAGAGCAAGGGAAAGGACGCGCGTTGATGACGGCGCAGAGATACAACTATTCGTGCTCGATGGATGTCCGTGTTGCGTCTGCAAAAATGAAGGCGCGATGGCGCGAGGCGTGAACTGGCAATGCTCCCGTTCTATGCTGCCGATGAGGTGTCGCTCAGATTCGGGAGAAAGGTGACGAAGCAAGGACCGATTCGAACCCTCTCTTCAGCTGTGTTGACACTCGATTTTTTTTATTTTAGTTTCAATTCGATGTCTCACTCTTTTTTAGGACGTATTATTTATTAATTGCCTGTTTGAACAGAAATCTCTAGATAGAAAAAATTATTTTTAATCCATCAATGAGAACTAATTATGGAGATAATGAAATGCTTTTGTCAAATCCTCTCATTTTTTGAGTTGACCTGTATTTTCTTCATACTTGACTGATAAGATTTTTCATAATTGCTTGCCGATCCACTGCACCTAATAAACCCCAAAAAAGTTGACTTTTTGAAGCAAATATTGCAAGTCAGGATTACCTAACTCCAAAATTATATTCTGGAGAATATGACTAGCATTTTTACAATATTAATTTTCTGCCACTTGGTATACGGGATGACAATCTAGATCATAATATTCGTATAAGTCTCTTGGGGAACACATTTATTAGGGGCAATGAAAAATACCACCCAATACTTCCATGTTAGATTCTCCTACTCTTCATGTCAAGCACATTTTCCTGGGTCCCTGGACGCAAGGCCGGATTGAGGGGGTGGCCACATGGGCCGCGGCCCATGGCGGCAAAATTTAGGGGGCGGCAAATTTTGCAATCTTTTTGAATGTAGGTATCAAAAAATGAGAGAAAACAATCGGATTCAGAAAATAAATTACAAACGAGAAAAGGCGACAAAATCTCTCATTTCCTGAGAGTAAAAGTAAAGTAATTTCTAATTTGGTCGTCTTTTGGTGATACAAGAGACAACACCTTTAATTAGTCGAGTTAAGAGAAAAACCAAACACGCACTTTGACCTGGAACGGAGCGGCGCGGCGGTTGGCATGAAACGCATAGCGCCTACAAGACTCCATGAATACCTGAAGCATTGCACCAAACGGTGTGGTCAGCAGCGGTCGGCGTGAAACACATGGCGCCTACAAGACTGCATGAATACCTCACGCATTGCGCCAACACTGGAAGTTAAAATTTTCAACCACATTATTTATGTTTGTTCTTTCATAATTTTTTCGTTCTTTTTTATAAATGGAAGGCCTTGTCCAAACAGGGATGGGTTTACGGAACTGATCTTTTGTTAGGGTTGACAGGGCTTTCACAAAAAACGTTCACTTGATGGTTTTTATAGATCGTATTCGACAGATCACACAAGTGAGACTATATTGATATCGATTGGTTCAATATGTAACCAAAGCCTCAAATCTCAATTTAGAAATCTGAGGTAACAGGTCTTACTTATGTGATCGAATTTTTATTCTCCTGAGTATCAAATGGCAATGGGGGGCGGAAAAATACAGGCGGCCCATGGACGGCATGTAGGTAAATCCGGCCCTGCGTTGACAAAGACAAAATGCGACCGTAATTACCATGTACGATGTACTGACCAATGAAAAGGCTGCGGCCCGATTATTGAAACTATGTCAGCCCGATACGACAAGACATAGCCATAGCTTAACCATGCAATATATTGCAATTCGATGTCTTGTCAGGCTGCTTTAAAATTTTTATTATCGGCCCGCAGGTGAGTTAATATGACACGCAGTCCCCTTGGGACATAAACTTCTGTTCTTCAAAAAATTTTCCTATGAAAAGGTAGCCTAAAAATAGAACTTCTTCTTCTTCTTCCTTTTGACTAGGGCCGTGACCCTGTTTGTCTAGCCTCTAAATTAATAAATAAATATGACAAATATGATAATAATTAAATAAATAAATATGAATAATTAAAAATAAATATGACAAATAACATATGACGGCGATGAGAGAGGGTTAATTCTCCTCTGATGAAAGGCAGCTCTGTGCCCATCTCTTGGGCGGTCGTCCAGGTTGCCTTTGGCACTTAATGCACAAAATAGAACTTAAAATAATGAAAACGACCGAGACAAACCCTTCTTTTTATGAGGTGTCTCATTTCAAAGGGTGGAATTGAAAGCAAAAAAAAATACAAAAGTTGTAATATTGTTATTTTTTATTTTTCTAATGATCAGGTCATAAAGCTATGTACAATCCAATACATTTTACAAATAGGTTTCAATACTCAAAAAACACTAATCTTCTCTGATTAGATGCTCTTTGGGAGGGGTTTCAAATTACCCAAGATCAAAGCAAGATAAAAACACGAGTCAAGCAATGGCATTTAGACGTTTTGTACTTTGGATGCCCAAAAATGACAAAAGTCGGGCATTTTTAAACAATAATTTGGGAGTACAAAGAAGTTAGAAATTATAATATTACACAGATACGCTGGTTGAAGGTATTTTTCAACATTCAATTTGTATATTGGGAATATTTGCAGATTGGAATACAAAACAGTTATGGGATTCATAATTTACCTTAAGCAAACAGCAGATTAATTTGTGAGTATTTCTCAGTGAGTAGTTCTAATTACCGAAAATATTGTCATTCTTTCAAACTATGCATGCAAGATTCGATTTTGAGGATCAAGTAAGAGATAATGTTTAAGATAATTTAAGTTTAACCAGCCAAAAATCAGGCAAAGAGATTTAAGGACTAGAGTGTAAGAAAGAAAGGTGATTTTCTTGGTGTAATTTTGATTTAAATTCCAGTAATTTATAGAGCTTCAAAAATCCAATTACAAAAATTATTAAAATTCTGCGGTGCAAAATAACACTCTCGTCAATACTCCTAAAGTTTAACATTGGAATGTGACAGGACTCTTTTTCATTACTTTTAAACGTTGAAGTATATTTTTAAGTTAAGTTATCATCGAGACTGATATTTTTTTCTCCTTTAAAAAAGAGAGCCTTCTACAAAATATTGCTTTGTTAATTATCTATTTTTTACATGAAAGAGAAAAAAAAATAATTGTATGTTTTCCCTGATGTTTGCCCATTTTCCCATGGTTTTTGCTCTTACCTGGAGTCCTCAAACAGAACGATGCACTGCACTTGGCTTGCCCACAGTAGAATGAGCCATTTAGAGAGGTCAGACATGAAATTGTTTCATAAAACTGCATATTTTGATGTTCATTTTGTTACAGAATCAATTTTAAGAGGTGTAGATAGAGGAAAATTTTACAAAAAAACCAATGAGATCACTTTGAAACTTCTACATTTTGCATGAACAAAGATATGAGCTTTTTAAGTTACCACATTAGGTCTGACCTCTTCCAATGACTTGCTCCACTGTGTGACCTATCAACGAAAATTGCCGATCAAAACCAAATTAACGTAAATGGGAAAAAATGACAACGGTAATTAGATGACATTGAACACAAGTTTTGAAGTTATACAGAAGACTCAGTAAGCCTCAGAGAAAAACTTAGCTACCAACAAGGATAGGTACAGCTAAAACTAAACTACACAATGAGATTCACATTTATTAAAAGAGTGTTGGAGATTAGAATTGTAAAAAAAGAAAAATTTAGTGCACGTTTTTAACAGTATGATTTTCCTCAACATGAAAATACAATAGTTCAAATATCAAATAAACTATTATAAAGTACTTAGTGCATGGATACAAATGATTCCATAGAACCAATACATTGCTTCTTTCAAAAGATGAAACACTAATCTTCATTTAACAAAATTGGCGTAGAAAATTTTGATTAAATTGTTGAGTAAGAGCTAACTGGAATTCCTATCATTACTTACACTGGTGATTCCTGGTAATGACTGGTAAGACACACATAAAATTAGTTTAGAAAGAACCAGAATGCATCAAGACGAGTTCAACGATCCAAAGATTCACTTCTGATAAAATTGTTGCGATGCAGAAGCTTGTTTTTCTGCAATCATTTTCAAGAATCAAGAATCAAATTTAAATTAAAAGTATTCAAAACACGCATTTTTCTGAGACTAGTTTTACAAAAAACTTACTTCATTTTTTAATATTTTGTCAATCTCCCATACACCCACTATTTGAATGAGTTGACAGAACATACTCAGCGAGGACAATCAAATTATAGCATTCAGAAACGCAGTAACTCCATTACATTAAATGTTCAAGAAACAAACAAAATTCAGAGCCAGAGCAAAAGCTAATGTACAGAAGTTTTTGATGCGGGAGAATCAGTGCTTGAAAATGCTGAAAAGATTCATGATGAGTTTTGACGTTGGTTCATTTGCAGACAGATAATTTAATCTGTCAGGGAGTTACAATTTGTCATGATTTGTTTAGTGTTTAGGAAATTTTCCATAAATGCATTGCTTAAAAGAGGGAGCCCCCTCAGTCAAAATTAATGAAAACTCCTAATTTTTAACACAGTTGCTTCAACGAAAACATAAACCTGAACACCTACTGTACAGGTGACATACAAAATTCTTCCAGGTAAAAATTTGATTAAAAATTGAAATATTTTGACAAAAGTTTTGCAAGAAACTTTGAAACTATTTGTGTTTATTTTCAAATTAGAATTGGGAATAAAATAAAAAAACAGCTATAACTTGAAGCCAACGAAAATAATTTGCCTGGATGTAAAGTCAACTTTCTTACCGCAAACTTTCATTCCATTGAGTCAGATGACTACTAACAGACTTTAACACCCCTTGCAACTGAATAAAATTCAACTCAACAAAGGCCCCTGAATCTAACCTCTTTCAGTTGATTCCTATCCATTGAATTCTACACCAATAACAGCATTTCTACAATGGAGCAGAATACAGGAAAAAAAAACAAGGCATTGTGAACAATTAGAACTGGAAATGAGTGGAGACCAACTGCTGTATTCTGCGCGAATCCAGACTTGGGGAGAGGAGGCTTTGCAAGCTGGGAGAGGGCTGATCAATTCTCTGGCAAGAGATAGGTGACTGCAAATGCCGATGCTGTATCACCTCACGCTCATTCAGCAACTCCTAAAACAAGAAAGTCAGTTTAGTTGGACTAGTGGATATGGCTGGATAGGTAACTTTAAGCCAAATAGTGGAAAAATATCTTCACATTTGGACTTCATTTTGCAATTGGGAACTAAGTACACTTCCTGGCTCACTTGTAAAAACATGTATAAGCATAGGGAAAAAAATGGTACATACGTTGTTTTTAAACAGAGCCAGAGATTGTAGTTCCTGATTGCAAAATGAAGTCCATTTGGACAGGGTACCATAATCAGCCAAGTATATTTCATCTTTTTTTTGGAAGGGGGTGGAAAGTCTAAAGTGCATTGTGCATATTTATTGATGTACATCTTCAATCATCTGTAGGGTAAATGGATCACCTTAACATTATGATGTATGTTTCATTTTCCAAAAGTCACATAGAATACGATTCGCAAGACAAAAATTACGGAAATTAACTCCAAACAAAGGTATGAAGGTTTTTATTTAGTATTGGTTGGGAAAAGTTCGAATTTCCTCCTTACAAGAAAAACTAGAATCTACATGAATCAAATCGCGCACTGCAACGGTTTGGGTAGGCTTCTTAACCATTACCTGATTACGGTTCCCTCCCAGGGACTACATTTTCAGAAATGAATTAAAAAATCTGGGCATGTTGTATAGACACAGTTGTTAGGTCAAAAGACCTAGCATATGATCTAGAATAAGGGGATGCTGATATCCCAGATGATATTATCTGTTGGTAACATTAGTGAGTAATCATTTTTTTTACAAAAAAACTAAAAAAAAAGTTTGAAGTGGAATTCATCCACATGCTCATTGATATGGTCTTACAGTAATCAAAAATTTTATAGAAGATTTCTGATCTACAAACGCAGAGCAGTATTTTGTCAAAAATTAGCATAGCGTTCAGAATTCCAAACGCAGACAGAATAATTGACTACTTGCCACTAATTAACAATTCAGCAGCATCAAATGACTTACTTCCCTATTTTCAAAGAAAGACTCAAATTTAATTTCACCTTTCGGTGAACAAACAATTCCTAACAAACATTTGTTGAACATAATTTGTACGGGTAATTCGATCAGAAATAAAATAAAAAGGGAAAATATTATACATTTTTGATGAATGCTTACTTGCAGAGAATACACTTGATCTCAGGACTCCACAGAGTTTGCTCTTTGTTTACGGCCAGTGATAGATCCAACAAAATTTTTAATGGTAGCACCGATACCTTTGCTAGGAGATGAATTTGAAAGAGGAGCTGCTAAACCTTGTGGGTGAGCATCTAAGCATTTCTGGTACCTCAGCTGGAAGATGAAAACATAAATTGTTAAGATTGAAATGTGAGGTCTAAAAGTTCGGACAGAGAAGATAAATGCAAAATGACACACATTCCGTCTTTGCTCACAAAATGAAATTAAAAAATAAATGTTTGAAGAGTCTAAAAGGGTTAAAAAAGAGAGAAAAAAAAGGGAAAGAAAGGGGGAAATAATGCCTTACCTCTCTTCAAGGTCTTTTGGCTGACTTTCAACAGATCAAAAGATAGTATGCTTTTACATCATTGAAGAGCATAGATTTTTAGTTTGATGGAATTTTGATGAAAATGAAATTGAAAGATACAAAATGACTGTGTCAAGAGAGCAACCAAATATGGCATAATTGACGACCATTACTTAAAAATGCATACTTATAAATTGCTGATTAATATTTCAATATACATTTACCAATAAAGATGTGAAAATGCCCACGGAAATCAGAAAGTAACAATTCCTGCATCTTTGAGTTTCATTCAATTTTAGTACATTGTATTATAAAGTTCCAAAGTCAACAATTGTCTTCCTTATTTTCAAGGATTGCAAAGTGAAATTTTTATTTTTAGGACCCTGCCGATGCATTGCAGCTATTCTTTCTCCATTAAGCAAGCACGCTATTTTTTACAATCTCTCTGCTCTTAGAAAAATGAAAAAGAAACTTCAAACTTACAGAACACTTTTAAAACTTTAATTTCACATCTATATGGGAATAACTATAGATAATATCAAACTTTGAAACCTTCAAAACTAAAACTGATTGATGCAGCAATGCCAAATAGCCACTGCAGAATAATATTAATAGAAAACATTAGAAAACGTACTTTACAAGCTGCTTCAATTGTTTTACACAATGCTCCAGATGAGGGTTCACAATGAAAAACATGTGCAATAAATAGATCTTGGGCAGTATGCATGATAAAAGCGCACTGCTGAACATTTTTGCCTATTCCCAAGAACGAGAGGTAGCGCACTCTGCATTCAGCCACCTGCTTCTCATCCTGTAATAATAGAGATAAAGGCTACTTTAGAATGACAATCATTTAGACAGTACTAGACACAGTCAATACATATCTTACATCTTCTGTAAAATTTCGTGAAAAAACCAGCAAGTTCATTAAATAGTTCGAAAATACATTTCTAAGGGGAGGAAAAGCTGATCTAAGTTCAAATAATCTAAAGGTAACGGTCAAGACGTAGTAAAGCAATGCCTGAAACTGAGATTAATCAATCAGTCAACACCATTTCCCCCGCCTTGCTACAAGATCAGAGCCTGCCAAAAATATCATTTCTTACAAGCAGGCATTTGCAAGCAGGTTTCCTTGGTCATTTCAGGTTGAAAATATCTGAAAAAATTCTTAGAAGCTTAGTTTACTCCTCACTTTCAGATATTTAAAAAAAAAAAAAAAAAATGGGTGCCACCAACTCATTACTCTCTGGGAAAAAAATTTTCTCTGCTTGTGACTCTTTTTCTTATAAATGATGGAACATTAAAATTGGATGTGTTTCTTTACCCCTGTATGTGAGATGGTGATCATAGATGGAGCAACGGCTACGCTCACATCACTCCATTCACTTTTCGGAGTGTTCAGCGTCAAGGTATCAATGGCAGTGTTCAGAGCGTCCATCCCACTTGCTTTGTCCACTTGCATGGAGCCTAAGTACTTTGCCGGCAAAACTTTCCTAGGTTCTTCCATTGGAGTTGGGAAACAATGAGCTGTGAAAAGATCATTTCAATCAGGCGACGAGTGATGTAAAATGTACAAATTGAAAAACGCTTTTAATAAAACGATCGAAATTTTTATAAAACAGTAAAAGCCGTTGTATTAAAACTTTTGAAAAATTTAGAAAACTCACGCTTTCACTTGAAAAACACTGATCCTGTTAGAAGGAGCTTCACTGGCGTATTTGGAAAAATTCTAGAATTCCCTAGGCTTTACGTAAATATGGACACAGAATGCACAAAAGAACCCTGATTGGGGGTGAGAAGAGAGGAGGGAGTCTCTTGATTCAGCTTTTGATTTTGGAGGGATGTAATCCTTTGAAGTCAATTTTTTGAAGGCAGAATTAGCACAGCAAGAGGAATCTTCCGGCTGAGTCATTTGTTGATGCAAGATGCAAATTTCATGCCACAAGTCTCATTTTTCCTCCATGCTTTCGTGTTTTCCAGGCTTGGTCTTTAAGTACGCAAATTTATCCTCTAGTTCTATGAGGGAAATTTTTCATGTAAGCACATCGAGTTTTATAGGACAGTTTTTGATCTAAAGCTCTTCAATTGATACCAAAATATAGACATAAAATAAAAATTTAAATAGGAGATAGAAGAAAATTTTAAAATCGAAACAAGACATACTCAGCAGGATAACGCTGAGAGGGATTCATACACTCCTTCATTTCTTGTTTTACGTAACTTTCAAATTTTGATGATAATTATGATAAGCTGCTGATAAGGTGTAGCTGCAGTGGATTAATGAAAAGTTTTCTTCTACTTACTGACAGGTGCTGCACTATTTCGATGGTGAGATTTGCGATTTTCCGTTGGCAGATTTGTTGGCCTTGTTGCTCCAGTCCTGCAACCGTCTAGAATAAAAATATGTTTTACCGTCAGTATTGGTCGAAAGCTTTCATCAATACATAAGTCAGAAAATAAGGAGTTCACCTTAAAATTAGATCATCATGACTACTTGCTGAGGGTTCTGCTTTATTCTCAACAACGTTGATACCCTTCGACAGTAATCAAGATTTTAATTTCAATTGCAGTTTTGCTCTATTTCATTATTCCAATCGCTCTCCAGACAAGGTTTGGATTAGAAAAAAGCATCACATGTTTTCTCTTCAAACTCTTAGGTAGAAAACAATTCGCACGAAAAAATATTCGAAAATCAGCTCCTGAACAAGATATTGATGAGTCAACATGGATTAAACATAGATCAAAAGAAAGTTAGATTATACAAAAGACGTTTTTTGCATTTTTAAAATTTATGCTATGTTAATTTCAAACACTTGTATGTATCTTGTTTAAGAGTTGATTTCTAGACTTCCCAATTTGGTGATTCGTTTTCCTAGTGAAATTTTTAAAAGATAACATGTGTAAAGCATTTATTCATACCTTGTCTAGAGGTCTGTTGTAATTGAAGACCCTTTCATCTTAGCTCTTGGCATTATCATACTGATCAACCATACAATCGCAAGAAATCTAAAGTACATCATTAAAATGTGATCAGAGAGTAACTCACAGTTCAGCAGTCCAGAATCTCTCTAAAACTGCAATCATCACTTGAAAATGTATAATTTTCACACACAAAATGAGGCCATAATGTCAATGATTTTTAATTCTGTTTCTTTTTTATTTATACTTTCAAATATTGTATTAAAAGCTAAATTTACAATACTGGATACTTCTCATCATATGCGCGCATGCAAGCTGAACTTGCTCAAAAAATCCTTACCTCCCCTCACAGTGGAAAAAAAATCACTCAAAATACTAAACAATTTCAAGAAGGAAGAGGTTTAGAAGCTGCAAATAATAGCAAAATCTTAAAAAAGACTGTTAATGCTATCAACAGATCAAGATATTCTACGGAAAAGTACAAGGCTAAAAAGAGGTCCTCGATAAGGAGGCTTTTAATTTGGTTTTGGGCTGACAGGTTTCAGATGATTCCGCAGTCTTGTCTTAGTCAATGTCAATCGATGCGCTCATTCAAGAAAATTAAAAAAAGATACTCACTTAAGTCAATTGGCTTTGCTAAATTTTGTTGAAGACTCCTTTCAATCATTATCCTCTTGCAAATATCCCTTAAAGTATTGGCAATAGTTCTGGCAGCAATATCACACCTGAATACGTGGCACATGTGTTTCCTGGTCATTCGATCTCTGGCCACATACGCGAAATCTCTGAAAAAAACAAGTTGAGAATTAATACTACGAAGTAAATGAAGTTAGGGCAGACTATGGATATCACCATTTTAAGCACAAAAATTGTGCACCTATTACCAGTCTGTCATTTCGCCAATAGAGGAGAAGCAACTTCATCAGGCTACAGAAGAGAGCAGTAAATCAATGGCCAAATTACATATCTCTGTTTTCAAGATGGCAGATTTCCCGGCATACTCTTTTTTTGTTTTCTAAAAATTAGTCATTGAAATTACTTGAAAACTTCTTTGGGTTCTTTTCTCTGTTGCAGAGTATTCTATAAAAATTTCCAGCTATAAAGATGGCTTGTTTCTCCTCAAAAAAACAAAATAGGTGTGAAGATTTTGAAACACTGCATTGGAGATACATGGATTTGCACTTTGACTATTAATACGCAATGCAAAACATTAAATATGTTGTACTCTAAATGAGGACGCGTCATGAATATTAGTATAAAGGCCAAAAAGTCGAAAATTGAATGAGACAAGACATTTTGTCCTCAGCACCGAGGCCATCATGCTGCATGACAGACTAAAAGCCATCAGCAATGAAGAGGTGAAAATAACGTCTGGAAGATGGCGCTAAAGGTTTGTTTTACAGCCATTTTCAGAAATGAAAATTTGAATAATTCAGAGTCAACTTTTTGGCACTTAGCCCGATACTGATGATAAATCTTAAGATGTCCTAAGGAGGGATATACCTACACAAGGTAAAAATGCTGAGTTTTTAATAATGATATTTTGAATTTTAATATTCACACAAATAAGAGAGGATACAGTTACAACCCATTATATAAGTTGCCCAATGCATATTTTTTCAATGCTCAATGAATTTATGGAGTATTTTCCTACTCTTTTATAGCAAGTTTTTCTTGACATTCTCAACGTTTAACAGAAGGTTATTTTACAAAATCCTTATCGGAAATCACTAAACTTCCTAAATGATTGATTATTGCAAAATATGCTCACCTCATGATCTTTCAGCATGGCAAACTGAGAAATTGAATTTTGGCCAAGAATTAAAGAGTTAATTAAGCACATAAATTTTATGAGTAGATTCTCAAGCATTTGCATCATTTCAACGAAGTACTAATTGCAGGAGTTCTGAAGGCATGTTTTGGAATTTTTTTTATTATCAGACCACCTACTTTTTCACCCAGGATGATGCTACAGAAAATTGAATCAGCAACCAAGGCTGAACTATATTAAACGCAAAAGCCACATAGGAATCAGACACTGAATTGAAACTTATAATCAATGAAGCAAAGCAAATAAAAATGTGTGGGAAAAAAATTAATGTTACCTTTCTCTGTAAGAATGAGCGCAAAGTTTTTATCCCATCACCAATAGAAGAGAGGCATAAGAGAGAAAAAACAAGAAATGAGTGACAACACATGGCACATACTAGAGGAAAATTCTAGAAATGTATAAGTCATTGTTCAGCTGGAGGATTCAGCCGGTTATCACTTAACTCACATTTTATTATATCTGCTTAAAATATTGGGAAAAGGTTTCAAGATTGAGGTTTTTAAGGATACTTTTCATTTACCACTGATTAAGTTTATTTGTACTCATTTCGTTTCGAATGCGGCACTGAGTCAATATTTTTGAGAAACACCATAAAGATACAAATATTTCTGCAAAAGAGTAGTAAGAATCAGTTTTTGAGAGATCATGGTCAAACTTTGAAGATTCACAGAGAGCAATGACACTTTACCCCATTCACTTTCTCTGAAATAAAAATTATTTTAAAATTTACCCTTTCCTTAGCTCAAAGAACTAAGAGATATTTTTGAACTATCATCTTAGATTATTATCTTACAAAGAAAAATATGACACTTAAGCCTTAATACTTTACCTTCCATTATCACGACCAACGCCCCACACCCGGATAGTATGGATAGGCTGTGCATTCAGTGCTGTTAAATTTTCTGGGTCGATTAACTTCAAAGCACCTTCGTCCAGATCCATGAATAAGTCTTTACCCTGCAGCAGTCAAACAAAGAATGAGCGAGTTGCAATCTGAATAGCCCTAAAAATTTCTTTAGAATCCTAACTAATTAGGCCTCTTACCAAAACCAGAAGATAACTTGGAAATGCTTGAACGTTTAAATGTTTTTAAGTGCGTCAAAAAGGAAAAAAATTAAATTTCTTAAGCTCCTGAAATGAAGTTAAGATTTTTCGAGGTTCATGCATTCACAGTTGAGCCATCTGAATATTGGGCATAGATCATGATAACTTTCAATTTCCTTAAATTCTTTGTATAGGAAGAGAGAAAAATTGCATGCCAGTGGAAGGTTGTGAATTCTTTACTAATGGGTAGTCTCAGAACCAAGGTTTGTTTTATGCTCATTGTAACTACCTTTAAAATTTTGTTTAAGTTCGGTGTAGCCATAACTAATGTAGTAAATTAAAATTTAGCGCTGGAAAAGAGGTATTCATTTTGAAAGACAAGAGAAACATTTTTTCCTCCGCTTTACTGAAGTCAAGGTACTGTATTTCAATTTTGAGGGCAATATACTAAAAACAGTTGGCGGGTAAACGTTCCAACAAACATACAAGGAGGAAAGAATGTTTTAAGAATAGGATTTAAAATACTTACATCTCCCCATCGTCCCACATTATCAATAAGATCATTTCTCCCAAGAGATAAATCAACTATACATTTATTTACAGCTTTGCTACTACGTTCAGGCGTTAAGTCCTCTTCCGCAATTTCAACCCAACCAAGAGATCTCACTGCAAATCGAATCACTTTCTCTTTGCCTTCTGGCTCTGCACGGGCTGGATAACTCCGCCGTCTAAAAAAAAAATAAATTAAATGTTTAAATGGCAAAGTTTAGCAACATTAGAAAACAGGTTAGCACTGCAGTTGAGAAATACAAAAGATCAAATTGTGAAAAATCATGGCTGTTTGCAGCCTCACCTGCACAGAAACACCGAATTTTTCACAATTCAACTTTGAATCGGTGTATGACCACTTGCCTTGTTACTACAAAAGATCTTTAGAGTAAACTTATTTACTTTACATAATTTAGGAAAAACTAAGGCATAATATAGGAGGTTAAAATATTGCATGCAGGTACTTTATACTTGCATAATCAACTTGTAGTGAAGGGAAAAAAACCTCAAACTATAATAAACTCACTTGAAAGCTAGGTCTTCTTTCTTTTTTCCATCTAAATCTTCAAGAGCAGAGCTTGTATTGCTTCGAGTCACCAAACTAATACCACCTGTTTGCTGAAAACTTGTTAAAGCTGTTTCAGCATCTTTGACTAGAGGAGTTTTTGGTTCGTTCATGGCTGATTCTGGTGGCTCCCGTTGAATAGTTCCGCTTTTAATATGCCAATAGTATGCCCCATCATTATCTGTCAGAGCAAAGAATAAGTAAAATTAATGTTAAATATCCTTCAAAATAGCACAAGTGCGGGTTTGTGTGCTCATATGCTCCGGTATAATGCAAAGCTTCAATAGATATGTATCTTCTATTTTGATTTCAAGGTAAAGTCATGTAGATACTACTAAATTTTCTTTTTTTTTCTTTCAATTTTTCTCCATTCAAATTCAGCTTTATTAGAAAAGAGACGCTGCCACAAATTTTTGTTTGAGTAAAAAAAAATTTTACACGACTGAAATGCATATATGGTGACAAAAAAGTCAGATTTTTTCGGCCAGAAGAAGGAAAATTTGAATTTTCATTCAGAAATACTCACACAAATTGTATAAGTAATCATGCAGAGAAATTTTGAAATTGATTACGGAATCGAGAAGAATATATCAATTTTAGAACATGGAATTTTTGCATAACAAAAATGATCAGCAAAAGTCACAGGTCATTCGTGAATCATTCATTTTATATCCTTTCTTGATGCAAACAGTCATCATCAAAGTAAAATCGAAGTTCAAAATTCTTCTTCAAAACTCATTGCCAGTGGCTTATTTCCAAGGGAAAAATAATTCTTTCTCACACTAGCTGTAAGCCTTGCTCGAAACTAATTTTTGTAACCGAGACAAACTGCTTACACTGAAGTTAAGATGAAAAAAATTTAATGAAAATCTTTTTGAAAACATACCTTCATGCTTTTCCCAACCAGCGGGAAGATTCTCATCCTGACAAGGAGATGAAGGCGGAGACAATTTTTTGGGACTAGAAGGAGATCTCCTTTTGACGGGGACAGCATAAATATCGCTATTTAATTGACCAATGACATGAGGAATTTTTCGAGGAGAGTCCGTGCTATTCAGTAGAAGGGTTGTTGGAGGTTGATGCTTTTCAAACATACTGTAAAAAAACGCAACAAATTGATTACCAAAAAATGTATGTATGGATTTGAAAAAAATAAAAAAAAAGTCATTAAAGCTTGAGGTGGGAAGGGCTCATTATTCACAGTGGCGCACGAGAAATATGCATTTAAAAAAATATAATTTATGTCTTTCACTAAAACTTTATATCTGCTACGTTTCAAAGAAAACCGTTTGAAATTCACGGTGATGCAGGTGTAGATCTCATTACTTCCTAACGCCACTACTGAAAGAGTGCTGATAAGCCAACTTATCTAATATATCGAAATGCCTGACTGAGCCTTAGATAAATGTATGTATCAAGAGGGACCATTATTTTTGGCTAATTGTCGAAATGCAGATCAATGATTCATTTTTTGGTACAAACAGGTGTTATGACAAAAATGTTCGTGCACCATTAAGAACAATAAATAGGTGCTTCTTAGACGATGATTTGGAAATTTTTATATTACTCCTCACAGTATTTTGAGCCCTTGTTATTTTTTTGGGGAATTTCTATCATGTGCACGGTTTTTAGATGTTTTAATAGTACATATCCTCTCAAATCGATTAGTAGATAATTGTTTTTTTTAATACTAATGTAATCAAGAATGAAAATAAGCAGCTAAAAAATCTAATATCGGCAAAAAAAAATTTCACACACAATAAAGTATATATTCAGAGATTAACAATACTTACTTATCCTTCATTCCATTCCAATTTTGAGTGGTGGAATCAATGAGATCTGGTTTCGTGTGACGTAGTGCTGTAGTCAAATCTAAGCCCCTGTTCACATTTACGTTGTCAGGAATCCCATTCCTATTGAAAAACAAATAAAAATCATGAGAAAGCTGTACTGCGGAGGCTGTAACCGTAATAGTACATCGTATACAGGGTGTCCCAGACTTCCCGTCGAGATTTTTTTCTCGGTTGTTTTAGGTCGGGGACAACAGAGCAGGGATGCATTGGGCATTGACCCCAAGGAATACGAATTTCACCGTCCAAGCCCCTTGGGTGGGTCAAAAGGAGGTCCTCATTTTGAAAAAGGAGAGGTTTCTGTCATAATTTTGAAATTTTCCGAGAATGAAGCAACTTATAATGAGTACCTATTCTTCCATGCTAAGGAAGAACGCCGTATGAACCTTCAGGCGTTGCTAAATTTCCTTTGAAAAATCACTAATTTTCGAGAAAATTTGTGAATATTTTTCTTTCAATTTCTCTGGTAATTTTGCTTGCAATGAAGAATTGGCAAGTACATTTTTTATTGCTTCATCTGAAAGTGCTTGAAGAGCTGATTGCACATTATTTTTTATAATTTTTTTCTGATATAGGAAATAGTATAAAATTAGACTTAAAAGTGAGAAAATACACCGCCTAATGACGTCATCTGGCGGCATTTTCCGTTTAAACACACGTATTTCAGCAAATTAGATCATTTTGTCATATCTTCTCCAATAATGGTTCAATTCATGAACCAAGGGTATCTTCGTGTTCAGTTCACTCAGTAGTTTCTACTTAAACACGAAATTCATCAAATTTCAGACACCTGCAAATTCTCTATTTGATCTAAAAATTCTGCAAATTTTAAGGAAAAATATTGATAATTTTCCTCAGAAATAGACAATTTATCGGGAGAAATTCGGCATCAGCAGAAGGCTCATACGGCGTTCTTCCTTAGCACGGCAGTATTTTCCCCCGACGTACTGTGCCTTCTCTTACAAGGGCAGTGCAGTGCATTGACCGAGGCAAGACATGAGAACATGTAAGTTGCAGCAAACCGCGGCGTCGCAAAGAGAAAAAAAAAGGTAAGGAAGGAAAAAGATCCAAGTTGAACTGGGTCGGGTGCGGCGGAAAGCGGGGGGAGACGGGGGTCCAGGCCCCGAAGGGGGCGGGGGGATCGATACGGGCAAGAGCGGTGGCGCCTGAAAAGTCGGCAAATTGCATGGCGTGTCTGGATCGAGCCTTGCGGAGATCGTAAAACTGCGTCTTGACTACATTATAATAATTAGAGCCGATGGAAAAGCGTGGACACGGGGGAATGCTGCCATGCTAAAGCAAAACGTCATATGAGCCTTCAGACGTTGCCAAATTTCCTTCAATAGAAGTCAAATTTACCGAGAAAATTGGGAATATTTTTTTGTCAAATTATTCAGTAAATTTTGATCACAATTTCACCTAAATTTCCTGAAAATGTCGAGGAAAAATAATACTAACTTTCCAGAAAAATGAACTTTTTATCGAGGAAAATTTGGCAACTCTCGAATGTTCATAATGCGTTTATCATTAGCACGGTAGAATGGCTGCATACTGCAACGCGCAACGCAAAAAGAGGGACGCCTCCGTCAAAAGTACGAGGGAAAACAGAGCACCCGGAAGTGAAGACAAGCACCAAATTGGACCTATTTAGGCAAAAAGGAACTATGTGCATAGGATTGTCATGAAACATAGTTCCTTTTAGTATAAATACGTCCAATTCCCCGACACTCGAAGAAAAACAATTCAATGCATACGGGACATCGAAGTTCTCGACCCAGGAGACCGAACGTTTTCGTGATAGGAACCAAACTTCGGTTCAGGGAACCAACTTTTTGGTGTCATTATAATATTTGAGGGGCTTGGAAGACAAGACGCATAATGGCAGTTTATGTTATTTCTAGAGATACGGGTTTGAAGTTTCGAAATTACACGGATCCTTACGGCGCGGCGGAAAGGAAGTTCAAACTAATTTTTTGATGCTTAAAAATAGGAATTGGGGAGCGAGTTTTTCACAAAATATGCATTAAAACTAATTTAATTTAAAATCATTAAAATTTTCAAAAATCGCACGAGTGCTTTGTCCTCCAAACCCCTCATTCTACAACACTAGACTGACTTATTCGAGCTCAAGCCAAAATACGAAACCAAGATTTTTCGAAAATCGCCGAACAAATGAAAGATGAAGTGAAGGTAGAAGAATTCTGAAACTTACTTGGTTTTGGAGCGATTAAAAGCTGAGAGTAGGCAAAACATTTTGTACACTAATACGGGGGTATTATTAGAATATACTTATATATTTTTCTTTTTTAGAGAAACGAAAAACAAGTGAGTAAATTAACTTTTGCGGGATACAAACTACACTTGAGAACGATTCCAATTTATTGCGAGAAAATGTGACAAATGGAGTCGTTTGACTCAATACAGTATGTGCTACCGATGTAATTTATTCGAGAGTACCCTAATCGCGAGCACGACTCTTGAAAAATGAGATGAAATACTCCTCTTCCACGGCCTCGGTCTTGATTCGGTAGGAGAAAACGGCACGATGCGGTCAAAGGTCGAGGCAAAACTGAGGGCTGCTGACCTAAGCGGCGGGGCAAAGAATCCCTAGAAATCCTCCGTGCAGCCTCAAACTCTACGATGATATCTGATTTGAGTCATCATCGGTGAGTCATAATTGACGGGATAATTCTATTGCTGGAATCAGGATAGAACTGTATTGAAAACCTGATCAGGGCAAGGGGGAGAGACGAAGGGATGGCGCCGCGAAGTAACTGTCAGGGTGGATTACTCGCACACTACCGTGCTAAGGAGAAACGCCGTATGAACATTCGGGAATTGCCAAATTTCCTTACAGGGTGTCTAAAATTTTTTAACAAAAAAAAATCCCTAACATTTCCATGATTTCCCTAACAAAAATGGCAAAAAAACGGGGGAAAATTAAAAAAAATTCTCGACAGGCGGAAAAAATAATTTCCTGACATTTCTATGACAAAAAGGAGAAATACTTTTAATTTTTCGATACCTTTAAACTGATTAGATGTAAGTAAGAATTATTTTCATGTTATAGGAATATAATGTAATAAATAGAGCAAAATATACGGCGCCTGGACTTACGCGAGATATTTCGTCGCCCCTGACGTAAGGGCGTAACTCGATTTCCACGTAAACTCTGCTGTCCATGTAACTCCATGCTTTCCAGGGCTCATGTCGGTATGGAGATACGCCCTTACGTCTGAGGAGTAACGATTTTTGCCTCATTTTTATTATGATAAAGACATCAGCAGAAATTTTGGTAGAAACCTCTGCAACAGTAAAATTCGCGAAATATTTGCCGAAAAATCCGTGTTTTTCGATTCCCCTGACATGAAAATCGCTTGCAAAATAAATTTCCCTGACATACCGAATTTTCGCTGATTCCCTGCACTGGAAAAAAAACACATTGGATCTAGAGTCTAGACTCTTGAAAATATTGACGAGAAAAAATACTCTTGATTCAACCAGATTTTTGCTTAAATCGAAAGGAAATCCGCTCAAAATAAGAGGCTTGGCTCTTGATTTAAGCTAAAATCCGAATAAGTAAAAATACTCTTGATTCAATCGGATATTCGCTTAAATCAAAAGGAAATCCGCTCAAATTAAGAGGCTTGGCTCTTGATTTAAGCTAAAATCCGATTGAATCAAGAATATTTTTTCTTGTCGATGTTTTTAAGAGTCCGGACTCTAGATCCAATGTGTTTTTTTTCCAGTGTGGCGTTTTCCCTGATTTCCCTGACATTTCCCGGTTCTCCCGGTTTCCTCGGTCGCTCGACACCCTGCTTTCGATCTCTAACTAAAAAAGTGGTGGGTGGTTACCTGTATCTATGGTTGTCGATGGTGGCGGGGTGGGGTCCGGTGGTGACGTCGACCCCCATGCCGTTGATGTCGAGGGCGGCGTAGTTCCTCCGGGCGGCGGTGGCCGGGGCCAAGCTCGGGGTCGAGCGGGCGCTCCCGGTGCTCCCCGTCTCGGGCAGCTCCGTGTTCGAGTTGAGCGCGTCGGCCAGCCGCGCCGGGTCCAAGTGGTAGTTCGGGTTCTCATAGCTCAACAACCCGTTCTCTGCAACATTCAAACAAATCACATTAGAGACGAAGATAGGGGAGCAGAAAATTCTTAGCCTTTCCCAAAATTTGCTGTTTCGCAATAATGGACCACTTGACAAGGTACGAATTTAAGCATTCTGATACATGTTTCTTACCCAGAATTTCACGTAGAACACGATTCACACAACGAAAATTACTGAAACCAACTCCAAACGAAGATATTAACGTTTTTATTTCTCATTGATTACGAGGAATTTGAACTGCCCGCTCACAAGAAACTCAAAGTTCTACTTGAGTCAAATCTTGCACTCCAACGGTTTCAGCAAGCTTCTGAATCGAGCAATGTTCATTTCCCGCCATGTATTTTTCAAACTACAAGCAATTTGCTATAGCTGAGCCAAAGCGTCAAGATTCAGGTTGCCAGATTTTTATGTCGCAGAAACTGTCATGATAACGTTTAGCGCGCGATGTGAATCGCGTAGAGCATTGAGTTTTCATGAGCGGGTGGTTTGAATTCACGCATCAAGAATCATTAAATATCTTCGTAAGGAGTTGATTGCGGTAATTTTTGCTGTGCACATCGTGTTCTACGTGAAATTTTAGTTACGAAACATGTAGGTACCAGAATTCTGAAATTCCTACCTTGTCTAGTGATCCATTCCGCCTCTACATAAAACAGGAAAACTACATGAAACATAAAACTGAAAGACTGCCGGCATAAAAAACAGCGCAGTTAGAAGTTTTCTTCCCCAAAAGCAACGTGCTTCAAAGTTTCCTTCCCCAAAATCAAAGTGCTTAAGACTTTCCATCCCTAAAAGCAGCGCGCTCAAAAGTACCTATCTTTCCCTACAAGCATAGGGTGCTTGAAGGACCTACAGCAAATAAAACGACTGGCTTAATGGTTTCCTCCCCCAAAAGCAGCACGCTCGAAAGGCATCTAGCACAAATAACAGTGCACTCCCCTGAAGGGGGGGAAAAAATATTCCCCAATTTTTACAAATATTTGCAGCCTTCCCTAATTCTCACGCGAGCGGCCGCGCAATCATGATCGCCTGATCGAAAACACTCTGCACCCCTGGACGAAGAATACACCTCACCTAGAGTCCCTTTATACTGAGAGTCAAGACAATGCGAATCCATTTCTGATTGGTCAACCGGATTTTAGGCCTTCACAGTGTCACAAACGGGAATAAAGATTACATTTTCACCAATTGCAAAGATTATAATCTGGAATGGACCGAGGAATTTCGGGTTCGACAAGGAACAAACGGAATGAAAGAAGGAACGGAGAGAGGAATTTAAGAATGAGCCGATCAAAGATTACGAAAAACGTTCAATTTCTGTAATTTTTATTCCCGTTTGTGACTCCATGAGGGGTGTTGTCTTGACTCTCAGTATAAAGGGACTCTAAATACACCCAGTCCCGGGTTCAGACGCCGCACATTGGGACGAGCCTATTTCAGAAACGGGACATTCACGGTAAAAATGAAAATCATTAAAAGCAAGAACCAAAGGTGTAGAAGTTACCTGGAGGGTCTAAACCTCCAGAATAACGAAGATTTTAACAATTTAATTGAGGAATATTCAAATGACAGCCGTAGAGAAACGCGTGTTTCGGTAAGATGAAAAAAAGAGGCAAAAGCGCACGTATACAAATTTTGCTCCTCTAGCTTCCGAGATGATTTTAAATGCAATTTTTTGATTTAACAATTGAAAATAAACATAGACTATTCGTTTACGTCTTTGGTGATGATTACTTTTTACTTCCTGGGGGTCACAGAGTGAATTCAAAATCGACAAGTCAAAAAACTAAAATTCAAACTTCAATTAGAGTTTTAAAAAAATGTCCAGACTTGTCCAAGAAACGGTTTGCAAATCGAGATTCTACGTATCCTTAGCTTTCAGAATCATATTAGTTTTCATCCGACTTCTTCCGACTTTGGAAGTTACGAGGGAAAACATGAGCGCGGTTTGCTTAAAATCGAGCGCTTTCACAGGCCAATTGACGGTTGAGGTTGAGTGCAACGGGCTATGTTGCTGGCCGCCGCACACTGTGGTATTTGACCGAAAAACCTGGCCAAAACCTCAATTTTAATTTTTTTTTTTTGGAAAACCAATGTGATATTCGAAATATACACTGTTTTTTACCCCAGTAGCCATGTATGTGCCATTTTTCGAGTGGCTCAATTTCCCGCGAAGAGACCACGAAGTTACCTATTTCTCAGCGATTTTTTTGATGTGTTTTGACGCGCTACTCGTCGATCAGTTTACTTCAACTGTGCGACCATAGGAGGGAAGTTCGGCGATATGCAACACATTCTTAAGGGTATATTCTACACAACTAACCACAGTATTTTCGAAATTTCCTTTTTTAGTGATTTTCACAGGAGGTTGAAAAGTGATGTAAAAGTAAACGTTTTTTTCGAATTTCACAGTCCGATTAAAAATTTCTCTCAACTGCTCTCAAGCGGTTTCAGGCGGAATGTTATAGTCCGAAGTGGGTATTTTCAGGATTCAGGGTCGACAGACTGAGGAAAACTGAGGAAATTGAAATTTTTGACTTCAAACATGGATTTTTGAGCGATTTTCACAAACATGAATGGGAAAAATTATGTCGATACTAACGACTGAAATTGTATTTTTCCAATACCTCTGACCCATTTAGTACGAAATTGGGTGATATTTGGTCACACAACCTGTTTCTCTGGCCCCTACGTCCCCGAAAGAGGGATGAAAAAAATAATTTGAAAGCGGAAGGGAGGGTCATTTTAAAGTCTTGCAAAAGAGTTTAATCCGTTATTTAACGATCTCTTCGTGCATTATCCTTGAGTATAGACATATTCATGCCATGTTTTACTTTGACAGACAAATTTGAGGCCATCCGGCCGTGGGGTGGGGCTTCGAAAGTGGCCCTCTGGCACCATGAAATTACGCTGAGAGGCACATTTTGAAGCCTCGTAAAAGTAATTTTACGATTTTTCCTCAGGCAGCAGATTGTAAAGGGACATCATTAGAACTAAATCTTCCATTATTATCAACCTAAATTTTAAGAAAAAATACAATTGGCCCTCGATAAGTGAGATATGTGGTTTTGTCACGAATTTCGCATTGACTTACGCTGTTTTATATTAAAAAAGGCAATTTCAAAGTTAATGGAGTGCCCTCACTTCGAGATGTAGATCATGGGTTAGGAAGGAACCCATCAAAATGAATCCTTTTCATAGGTGCTTTCTGTCCTCACAATGGTTCTTATTTTGATAAAACTGATTTTCATCCTATAAGTTATCCTCAAATCATCATATGGAGGTCCCGGCACTTTCATACTAGCACTAATTTTGATTCAAAACAGTCAAAAATCTAATATCTAGAATGATTCATATTAATTTTTTTGAGAAATGTACATTTACTCCTCAATGTGAGAGATCGGCTGTTTCGTCAAAAATTTTGAAAGGACTTACGCTGTTTCATAAAAAAACCATTAATGAGGTCATAGAGAGTCCTTATTTCGAAAAGTGGACCACAGATGAAGGAGAAACTCGTCTAAATGCACCGCTTTAGTCAGATACTTTGCGTCCTTTTAAAGGCTTTTTGGAGGGCTTCTTCCATCCTCTGTAAACTCTCCGCAAATTGTCATATGATGTGTTAGGTGGATAAATTGTGCATATTATCACTTAAGAAGAAGTACTGATTGTAAAATATTTTTAAAACTCGGCGATATCTGGTGATAAATAGTTTTGGCCAGCTTTTCAGGTCCAATACCACAGTGTGCGCCGCGCCGCCGCCGCTGCGTCACTTATCAGCTTGCTGCGATGCTCATCTGATACCTAGGATACGGATCCATATCGTCTTTTTTGTAGACCGATTTTTTATTTTTAATTTGTAGAGCGTTTACAATAACAAGAATCGGATGATGTCGTGATGGAAACGGTGCTTAGAATCGAGGCTGACTTTAAAAATTTAATTTTAACCAAAGTAGACGGTTTGACAGTGTCCCATGATTTGTATTCCACCATGTTTGATGGGAAAATTTGCAATATATTAAGTGGCAATAAATCCTCATTCTTATGAACGATATCTCAGAAGTGCAGAAAAGACCCCTAAGAAGCTCGGAGTTCGGAAGTATGGAATTTTGCCTTGGCATCTCAAGATTGAAACTTTTGAGTGTCTGTTGCATATTTCGTATAATCAGGATTTCAGAAAGTGACGCTCAAAAACGGAAGAAGAAAAGTCCTTGAAAAAAAACGGGGGAAAAACAGCATCTGTGTCAAAGAATGATAATATTTGGGAGCAACTTATTCGTTTATGATTTTCGGATTCACTTTAATGTCTGCCCATTGATGAACTCATTCCCCTATAGTCAAATATCGCTGCGGTTTTTGCGATAGGTAAGAACATGGTGGGGAGGGGGTTGTTTATTCTTAATAGAAGCATTTCTCAATTTCAGGATCAGTGAATTCATTTTCTTTTTCAATGAAAAAAAGCAAACGACACGCGCGTTAAATCTCTACCATAATCATGCTAATCTGTTTATCAAATAGATTAAAACAGAGACTTGGCAACACAATTTTTTGGCGGGATTGTCACAATGAACCAAATTCTGAACATAACATTGGATTCCTTTTCCCAAAAAGACCGAAAATGTCAAGTTTTGAGAAGATCGGCGAGAAATTATCGTCTGATGTGCGAATGTCCCGTTTTGACACCTTTTCGTCCCACTGTGCGCCGCTCAAACTGGAATGTAGCCAAAAGAACCAAAGTCCATTTTGATGATGAGCACCACAACGCTAGTATTCCTGCGTAGTCCGGGGTTCATCAGGAAAATGGACTTTGCTCCTTTTGATTGGAGATGCCTCTTGTATTCTGAAGACTCCGCATCAGTGATCTAAGCTATGCATTCGGTTAAGACAAGGGCCGAATTTTGTTGGTCCGTCCGACGTACCAAAATATACTTAGGACGACTCTCAATTGCACTTAAGTCCCGCTCAGCACTTCTGATTGGCCGGTGGTTCAGTTTGG